AAAAAAAATCACCATTACTTATGCGTTTCTTTCTTCTCTAGTCTGTGACAGCTGTCTACCTTCCATTCTATTCCAATCGAGTTTTTTTTTTTTTTTACTTTCCCTTCTTCACTTTTCCTTTATGTTTCACTCTCCTTTGCACTTCGTATTCCTTCCCCACCAACTATTCCAGAGCTTTCTTCAATGGTGGATTTGCCCAACTCAACAAAAATCACCCTCTCTTCATTAATTAAGCTGAGAATCCAGCATCCCTGCTCGCCTCCTCCGTCCTCACGGTTCCAATTTCAATTTATGGCGTCGGTCAACGATATGATTTTGGCGGAGATGGAAGGGAATAATGGCAGGAGGCGGAGAAGGGATTGCATTTGATTTGAGATGGCAACACAGCCGCCAACGGGGACGAAATTCAAAGTGTCGATGAACCACTGGCCGACTTGCTGGTAGCGCCACCGCGGCAGAGGCGGTCTTCCTCGACCATCGTGTGCACGAGATCATCGTCTTTTGTGACGGAGATTATGGCGTCGAGATCTTCTTCATCTTCTCACCTCCTCTCCTCTGTGATTTCTCCATAGGCCTGTCTATGGGAGCGACCAGCGAGGCTTCAAGAAGAATCGGCTGACGGTCAACGGTCGGAAAAGACGAATGACGAACAACAGGGGAGAAGGAATTGAAGAACTGCCGGCTGGATCAAAACCGGCCGGTATTTCGCGAAAGGTCGGTTCAATGGAAAATACCGGCCGGCACTCTTATTTCTCGGAATATCAGCTACCGTATCGGGACTTGCCCGGTTTTCGGTTTTCCCGGTTCTACCGGCCGGTGCGGCACGGTAAAGCAGTCCTTGTGTTTAACACGCATCTTGGCTCTGCAGTTAAATCTGGTCTCCCCTCTTGCTTCTGTATTTCGTTATGTGCTCTTCATGCGCCTCTTTCCCTCGCCAGAGCATACATAGTCACGCCATATCATAACTTTGTTCTTATCACGACCAATGTCTGATTTTCTGATGTCGAAGCATTTGACTAACCCATAGTCCATGTAGAAATCATAGGCTTCTTCTGTATCATCGAACTTCATTTTTTTTAATATCTTCAGGCTGTAGAAATATGAGATCGGCGACATTATCTTCCTGGGTGGTGTGACTGGCTCCGGCACCAGCGTTTTCTTGGACTGACTCCGACGTCAATAGTAGGACTTCCTCCGACATCAATGGTGGGTCTGCCTCCGACGTCATTGTCACTGCTGGAAATTTTGGTGAACCAAGGATGTAGATTACAAAACCCTATTGGGAATGATAGCCGAATTAATGCTTGAATGGGCCACTTAATAATTATCCCCATTAATAACACGATTTGTGATATCTTACATTTTTGGTAGGAACGATTTGAACTTTCTATTCTTTATCTTAGTGATTTCTTTACCATTTTCAGAAATAACGAAAATATTTAAAATGAAAAACCTTGCTTAGTAAAGCCAAACGCCAGCTGACTCTAGCTGTGTACTACGTGTATGGGGAAGGATCAAATATTAATATGAGCGAATATTTACTAATAGCACTCAATTTTTTATTCAATCGGAAAAAAGTATATTTTTAATTTTAGGTTTAATAACTACCCATGTTTATCCCAAGTTCATGTACCTTAGACTAAACCCTAACTATTTTTCCGCGGGAAAAATATGGCGCCACATTTTATCCTAACCTTGTATATATAATTAATCTTCAGCGGTAGAGCAGTGGTTCCATATCCTTCTTTGCCGCAATTTTGAGTACAGACTAAAGCTTAGAGGCACAACATGGAAAATAGGAGGATTACTCGCTCTTCGTCCAAGCTTGTGGTATGTATAATAGCTCTTTAACCATTGAAATTCATTCTAGTTAATTTATTAATCGTAGGTTCACTGTCATTGAAGGAGACAGCCGAATTTGTGACTCCAATCAAAAAACCAAGGATACCCAAAGGTGTAAGCACTCCACCCACTCCTGCTTCAGTCATCGTTTTTATTTCGGATGATGAATCTGACTCTGAGGTAACACCAAAGAAGGCAAATGGAAAAAGTATTTCTCTAAGTTTTGTTGACAAGGTAATAAAGGTGTCATGTTTGCCATTGAAGTGTTCTTTGTCGTTATTCTGTCAGACATAACGAATGCATTTCGACTCGTGTTTATTTGTGGCCCCTATTCCAGGTTGTTTTGAAGTTTAAGCTACCTACTGCTATGGATTACGATGATGAGCAAATCCAGCTTGCTCACTATATATTTTTAGCCAATCTGCCACCTGACGAAGTATTGGTCAAAACCTCAAACAACTCTTGTACCAGGAAGTCATTGTGGTCCTTAAGCCCTCGCTCATTGGTAGATGCTGAAGTAATCAACGGAACTCCAAAATTTTGTTTTGTTTGTCCACTATCAATGCTTTCTACGTAGAATTATTTTATAACAAATCGATAGTATCATGAAGTGTTTTTTGTCCATGTTATATTAGGTTATAACAGCGGTGGTCTACCACTTGACTCTAGAAGAGTTGTGGACAAATTCTAAGGACGGAAAAGGAGTGTGCTATATGCCTGCTGAACTACAGGTTGTGGTCCGATTATGCATAAGATTAATTTCCTCTCACCAAAAAAAAATACAACACATGTTTTTTTAACGTGAATGATATTGTGTTGACAAAATTTCAATTGTGCAACTACCACATGGGCAGGAACTAGTGATTTCATGTGGAATAACACCCAAGAGGGCATTAGACCTATACGAATCAAAATTCCTTAGTCGAACCAATATGGTGAACAAGGTAAACGGTTCGTCTTAATAAGTATTACATGGTTTGCAGTTTATTTTTTTAATACGTGTTGACAATTTCCGCATATGTAGGTGTGTGTTCCGATGAGAGATAATGCCCATTGGTACTTGGCTGTCATTAAGTTGGACAAGTAAAAAGTCCATATCTTGGATCCACAACCAAATGAAGACCGCAATTCCTTTCGACTACAATCTGTTCAAACAATGGTAAATTTGTGACATTGTGTCGTTATAACGCAAAAAAATGTAAATACCTCTTTCTAAGTACAAACGTTTCTTAATTTGTACAGATGAGATTTATGCAAGTCTTGTGGAAGATTCTCTATCGTGAACAAGGTCCGGGATTGTCGCCGCCAAGGATTGTGGAGTTTTCATACACAAATCCTTCAAAGGATCAAGAACAACTTCATCGGTAAGTATGCTCATTTTTGTGTGATATTAAACGACGGCTTATCAACTTGGTTCTTATCACGCAACGCTTTCATTTTATGTAGGTCTGACAGTGGAGTCTAGGTCTGCATGTGGATGTATGGCGCAAGCTGGGACTCCTCTTATATTTGGGTAAAGACAATTCTAGTTCGCATCTTAGAAAACCACACTTGATTGTTATTTTTGAATCATGCGTTAAGCGCCATGTTTGTTGATGTTGATAGCCATGCACTCAAGTGAGGAGGATGCAGATCGCTTTGTACCTTGTTCGAGAGCCCATGAACTACATAAGGCATATATGGTGCTAACGGAAGCAAGAACAGTTGCACCTCAAGTTGAAGCTGCAGTAGAAGAGTACAAGAAAGCCCATGAAAGGAGTAAAAAGGAAAGAGAAGAGCACAAGGAAACCCAGTCAAAGAGCCCAAGGACAACCTGATTTTGCATTTTTTTTCAAGATGATGGACAGCTGTTATGTTTTTTTTTTCAAGATGATGGACAACCGTTTTTTGTTTGGTTTGGTGAATGCTTTCTATATTTGGTTTTTGGTTTGGTTTGGTTTGGTTTGGTGAATGCTTTGTATATTTGGTTTTTGGTTTGGTTTGGTTTGGTTTGGTGAATGCTTTCTATATTTGGTTTTTGGTTTGGTTTGGTTTGTTTTTTCTGGGAAATGGCAAAGGGACTTGACCAAACTTCCACCTTCCAACTTGTGAGTGAGGTTGCTTCTGTTCAAGCCATTGTATCTTGTAGAGAGGTTTCATTAAGATCATATCATTCCACTTCGTTCCTAATTGCCCTCGTCTAATTAATTTTGCATTCATGTATAGTTAACCCAAAAGGTAAAACTGATTGGCTCCCAATCAGCATAATTAATGACCAAACCACGTACAAGGCAGATAGAAAATTCTTAGGTAATTAATTTAATGTTCCTAGGATATGGAAAGGCTTCCATTCCTTGAATATCCACCAATGATGTATGCACTCCCCTTTTAGTGAGAGAATTCATTGTATTAATGATAGGGTATCATAGTAACTAAGGAATTAATACCATGGCTAATGACATGGAGAAGGGAAGAAAAGAGGAAAAAGACAAGACTGGGGGACAAGAGACAAGCCCAGGCACCTGACATCAGCAAGGACAAGGGGCAGGGGGACACCCTCTGCCAAAAGGACTATGAACAGTGTCAGAGAGTCTGAGGCGCCCGACTAGAGCATTTATGGCTTGGCAGGCGCCCAGACCACTACCTACCCCTCAAATGTGTATAAATAGGAGTTCTCTCCTCATAAATGATAATCCATCTACACTTACTACTACTTCTCTCTACTTTCTCTCTCTATACACTTCTCTTCTCTTATTTCGGACGAGGAGGGGCGCCTACCCTTTCAAGGTCATGGCTGACACCCCAAACCCCTTGGACCCGAGTGACGCCCAGTCGCCCGGGCTCAAACAATTAATAAATACAATAAAAAGGCTTACATAATTAATGGATTCTTTATTGTGTATAATTAAAAGGGTATTTTACTATAAACGAAGCATGATAGATTCACCGGGGGAATAAAAGAAGCATGAGTCTTGATGAAAAAGGGGGAAAATCACCATAGATAAAAAATCATTATAATCAAGCCATATCCATACTATTCACGCCTATCATCGTCACTATACTTGTGACCAAATATGAATAAAACCATAATTTTCGAAAATCCTTAAAAAATGAAGATGAAATAAGTAACACATTCTTAGACCTAATTAGAACTGCTTGGAACAAAAGCGGATTAAAATCTCCCCCAATGAAATTCATTTGCAATTTCATAGGTAGTCCCTACTTCCACTTCTATAATTTTGAGAAAACACAACTTCTCAACAACAATGAAAGTCAATTGCAATTTCATCAATAGTCCCCACTCGTGGGCCCATTTCAATTGCAAGCAAATTTGCAGCATTGCAATAGCTTCTCACATCATAGCAATTTAGATATGCAATTGCACCTCCTTGCCACATCATCTTGCAAGTCACAAAAATTGCACCATTGGAGATGACCATTACTGCATCTCGTCACCTGTCTTACGGAACTTAGCCATGGAAAATTCAAAAAATACTACATGCATAGAAAAATATTGGTCTGGACAATTCAAAAAATGGGAGACTTTTCTAGTCAGATGATGTACTGGCTCCCCTCAGTACCTGACAGTTTTGAGTGCTGGAGAATTAAGGAAAAGACAAAAGACTGGAAAAAAAACCCAACAAAGACTTAGGAAACTTGTTAACAGAAGACATCCATTGCTGGCCCCTTTGCTGCTCCAACGCTCCACCCCGCCCTGAATCAATCGACTCTCATGTAAGCCGAGGACGTTTGCTTGAGGAGGCCTCAGGGGTCGCTTGATGCTCCGTATGCCGAAGGTCAATAAAAGTATTGGTCAATTCGGCTATACGGTACACCGACAAATAAGCGCACTGGTCCTCCTTAACATAAACCCCCATATCCATCCCAACCCTTTCAAGAAAGGTGATCACGAAGGTGGCATATGGAAAGGTAGTGTAACAGTTTTCCCCTCTAGGAGCAGCCTCAACCATGTTCAGGCACATGAGAGATGCGAGGTTAACAGGAACACCTCTTTGAGCTTGCACAAGGATAAAAAAGTCAAGTTTATGAATAATCGAATGACCACGGTACCTTGGCAGGAAGCAGTTGACGATCATCCAGTGGAGGAATCGAAGAGGATCTGGGAGGAAAGAAGCCTGGATGCGCCCCTTTGTGAGTTTCGCCAGTTCAACTTCAAACTCAAAATCGTACAGCCACGCAAGATCGCTTCTGCTCTCAATGGGGTGTCCTCCGGTGGGAAGATCGAGGATCTCAGCAAACTGATGAGGCTGGAAGCAGACTCTATGTCTCGGGAAGATCGACACGAGATGAGAATCACAGGGACCAGAAAGCTGTAAATTGTGATAGAACTTCCTCACCACATGGGGACAGTAACTGGTGCTTCCTCGACTCCGGAGATCAAAGAACTTTTCCCAGCCAAGATTTTTTATTAACGTCTTCACTTCTGGAGGGAAAGGACATAGGTGGATAAACTCGTACTCGGCCACAATTGTTGTTTTGCTTGTAAATGAAAGATAGTCACCGAGACTGGCGGTGGATCGACAGTCTTCATTTGATAGAGATAGTATCCCCATTTCCGCAAACGATTTACCTTTGCTTGACATGGAGTCTGGAGGAAGAAGGAACAAGGGAATGTGAAGATGGAGGAAAGAGAGAGTGTAGGTGTAAGAAAAAGTGATCGTGGGGGTTGAGTCTGGAGACGTGACTGTGATGGAGACGGTTGAGTCTGGAATGTCAAGAGTTAGAAGATTTCGGAAGATATGTAATGATGATGGTAACTCGTGTAGGTTAAACTAGGGTAAGTAAAGCTAGTTAAACTAGGGTTGGCGCATGAATTGATACGGCAGGAGAAATGGAATAGGCTCGCACATTCCAGGCCCACTTTTGAATATTGCATGGATCATGTACAAGTCCACGTTTGAATGTTGTTTAAAAGCCTGCAAAAATCAATGATCAGACCCAGTCCAACTAGAATTAGACCTAAACGCACCGTTAATACATAAACAAAAATTAAGGAGACCTCTCCATCCGATTCGAATCAAATTCTGTCTTCTTCATCTCCTTCCTCAATCCTCTAGGCGAGACGAGTAATGATGATGGTAACTCATGTAGGTTAAACTAGGGTAAGTAAAGCTAGTTAAACTAGGGTTGGCGCACGAATTGATACGGCAGGAGAAATGGAATAGGCTCGCACATTCCAGGCCCACTTTTGAATATTGCATGGATCATGTACAAGCCCACGTTTGAATGTTGTTTAAAAGCCTGCAAAAATCAATGATCAGACCCAGTCCAACTAGAATTAGACCTAAACGCACCGTTAATACATAAACAAAAATTAAGGAGACCTCTCCATCCGATTCGAATCAAATTCTGTCTTCTTCATCTCCTTCCTCAATCCTCTGGGCGAGACGAACACTACATATCAGGAAACCTTAATTTCACCCAGTGATAGAAGTTTCAAGAAAATGACAATAACACTAAGACAAGATGACAAAGCACTAGTGACATGAACTCTAGGGTTACCAAACCTCTTTCAAGGGTTCTTTTGCAAATGAAAAGTTTGATGAACACAATAATAGACATGGTCGCCGTAATCGTGTTAGAAAGAGATAGGCGAGAGGAAATAAAATGGCGAAGAACAAACAAGATAAAATAAATTGGGAAATTCAATCTACGTCGAATGTGGATGCAAGTAATTGGGATTCAAAAAGATGATTAAGTTGGGGAGTTCAAATTGGATGGGGAGCTTCTCTTGGAACTGTGAAGGGGCATCCCTCCAAGACGAGAGAGGGATCGTGTGATTGGTTAGGGAGACTGAAAATTGGTTAGGGCGGCAGTGGGTCTACCTAATTGGGTTTGCAGTCTTAATCCATTTAATTTAATCGGGGCAGTTAGTTAGACTAGGATGAAAACAAACTTAACGCGGCAGGAGCCTTTTTGTAATTTGTTTAGTTATTTAGTGGCGCAGCTAGGTTTAATAAATGTGAGTCGTAGAGATTGAAAACGAATGGGTAAGACCGGCCAAGGTACCCGTACCCGGATTTTTCCCTGGGCACCGTAGAAGTCACCATATATATATATGTATGTATGTATGTATGTATGTATGTATGTATGTATGTATGTATGTATGTATGACCAATGACATACCACATTAGATGCTCACTTGGGAGTTATATGTAACCCATGTTCCTACATCATCATCTCTAATTCATATGCATTGATGTAAGGATGTAGTGGTTACCAAAATGTGCCTATAAATAGAGCAAACTATTGTATCAAAAGTAAATAATGAATAAGAAGAACTCTTCCCCTCTCTTCTCTTGTGTATTTCCCTTTCTAATCTTCTCTTGTAATTGTTTATATTTTCCATTAGTTTCATTACACGTTTTCAGCACGAAACTCTGCCAAAATTATCACTAGTCAAATACTCTCGACATAATCTAAGATATTGGAGTAAGAACACAATATGATCAAGGTATGTAAATATTATCTCATTTCTTATCTTATTGTCTTATTTGTGTTCATATTATCTCATTCCAATATATAAAGATGGGTGCTACTATTTTCTCGTAGTAGACCATCCATTGATATTTTATCACGTACATCTATTTGGATTAACAAGAAAAGTAATATAAGTGATGAGTTAATTTCTCAGTTCTCCGTGTTATCCTATTCTTATCAATCCTACATTGATATGTACAAAATGCAAGTTTCAAGAGCCCATATATTGCCCAGAAGTGGAAATTGATGAATCCAAGGGCAAAGAAAGAAGTGGGCATGGTAACAAGAATATTGGTTTTGTATATTACCATTATAATGGAAAATTGCATTTGTCTCGTACCCGTTGTACGCAAAAGACCTTATTCTACCAAGAATCAAAGGGAAAAGCTAATTCATATACGCTCGTGCGATTTTCACCTCATACGGCTCCTCGTTCTATCAATATTATGGAACATATTTTTTGTATTATAAGTTGGTATATTCTCTATTAAAGATGAAAATGATATTGCACTTGAGACATTTTCATTCCCGGAAGTGAATGAAACAATCTATTCCCTGAAGTGAATGGAGCTATAAACATAATTATATATATGTTAAATGTATTGTTTGGAACTTTTCACAAAAAGTGAGAAAAGAGGAGAAAAATGAGAATTATAAATAAGGATGACACAACATTTGCATTATCAAAGTCATAATAATATAATGTACCCATTGTACATTGAAATGCATATATAAATTTAAAATTCCCTAGTTAGTGATGGTATTGTTCCAAATAAAGCTTATTTAATTTTCATAATTATGATATTATGATTCTTATTTTCTGATATATGTTATTATGTCATTATTTTTCATGCATAATTTAATAACTTTTATTTACAACAATCAACTTTAAGTTCATATTTTTGTCTTAAGTTTGAAATATTCTCTTTTATTATTTTAGTATGTTTTTATAAAGTATGAGTGTTGGAAAAATTCCATATAAAATATATGATATAGTACATAAATAAGAAAAACTTCCGAAGAGCTTATGTTTGGTTACTTAAAGTAACTAAATTATGTACTCGTGATAAGAATTTGTGATGATATTTTTATCACTATGGATATGTGCCTACTAATGAAACACTAAGTCATAAGATAACGAAGGACAAAATTTAGTAACGAATTATGTAAAAGCTCCAAAAGAGCTAATGTTTTATGTGATATCATATTAGTACTATCAGTACACATGAAAGTGTAAGCCAGAAGTTTACAAGATTTGATAACTTGATAATGTGGTTGGTTCGGTTAGACCATCCTGGATAATGATGTGAAAAAAGTTCTTTGAGAATTCACGAGAACATTATATGAGAAGTCAAAGAACTCTTCAACAAAAAGAGTTATTATGTCATGCTTGTTCTCAAGGAGAATAGAACAATCTTTCTAAAAGTTGTTCATGAAATTTGAGTTCAATTCAAAGATTTGAAGTGATGTGTGGTCATGAGGGGGAGCATATACGCACTGCACTCTTTTTCCCTTCACCATGATTTTTCCCACTGGGTTTTCCTGGTAAGGTTTTTAATGAGGCAGTATGAGATAGTGTAATGCAATCTAGTGGTCATCTAAGGGGGAGTATAATGTAAATATTGATATAGGATTACCAATTACCTACCACATTAGATGCTCACTTGGTACATGTAACCTCTATTTCTACATCATTATCTCTCATTTATATGCATTGATATAAGGATGTAGTGGTTACCAAAGTGTGCCTATAAATAGAGCAAACTATTGTATCAAAAGTAAAGAATGAATAAGAATAACTCTTCCCCTCTCTTCTCTTGTGTCTTTCCCTCTCTAATCTTCTCTGATAATTGTTTATATTTTCCATTAGTTTCATAATATTTCCGACTTTTTTTATTGGAAGCCAGTATTTAATAACAAAATGTTTGGAAACACTGATTATTACACACAATTAAATTTATATCTCATGAACATTTATATAAAATGTTTGTACAAATTGTTTTTATAGGACAAACTAAACTTGTACCTCTATATAATACAAATTTACTCAGTAACTATAACTTTTCATACAAATTCATTTATGATACAAACTGAATGTGTACCTTTAAGGTCTTGGTATAATTATTTCGTACAAATTACTTTACCATACAAAGTACTAAACTTATACTTGTAACGATATTCTACGGATTCAACTTGTATTTACAAACATCAATATTTTGAAGTATATAGATGAGCTCATATATATTTAACATAACAGATTGACTAAAAAGTGATGCTCGTGGCTTTCTATTTAGATGGAGTCCATGGAGTCCCTATTTTTCAGTTAATGAGTGGGCTTTCTTTTTGGTTGGGGTCCCGATTTTTTTAATTATTAAGTGGGGTATTTTGAGCAAATGACCAAATAATCCTTCCTTGTGCGCATAAGTCAGGAAAAACTAATTAGGTGTGTTTTCAAGAAGAACCTCTATATATTGTTTGGAGAAGGAGGATGTTTCTATCCGTGAAACCTAGTATAATCTTATTATTTTTGGGTGGTATATGAAGATGGATTGTTTTAAGGGATTAGATTTCTAAAGCCAAACCTTGCATGTATTATTAGTTTGAGAACGGAAAATCGAGTGCATATTAACTTAGTGGCAGACCCAAAAAATTTATTAAGGATATTCAACGATAACCCAAAGTCTTTAAGGGTTGTCAAATAGTCCCGAATTCAAATGCTACCATCACTAAAAAAAGTTTTGGGTTAATAGCATTTTGTTCCCCTTTACTATTGCGAATTAACGAACGTGCCCCTGTACTATTATTTTGCACAAACATGCCCTTCTAATATTACAATGTAACAAAATTACCCTTCTGTTGAAAATCTTGTTTTCTCACCGTTAACTAGGATCAGAAATTACCTAACTACCCCTGACTAATTAATAAATCCAGTTTTAATTAGAAAGTGATTACAGACAAATTAATAAACTAAAAGAAATCCCGTTTGAATTAGAAAGCGATTACGCTGTTAATCCCTTCATCTTTTCCTTTTACTGTAGAGCAACCTGCAAACATCATCGCAGTCGACCATACCATCGGTGACGACGCCATCTTTACCGGCGTCCTCCAGCATCCTCCAGCGGCGCACTCCAGCATCCTCCAACGGCGTCCTCGAAATTCATCAGTTGAAGTTCAATTAGCACTATCGGGTGGATTGGACGAAGAAGCAA